AATGTTAGTATGCTTGATGTTGTCTCAGAGTTCTCTTAAATTGAACTCATATTTTACAGTTTTTTTTCCTTTTTTTTTTTTTGTTCAGCTCGTGTTATTTTTCACAAACTACACTGTTTTCCAGTTCACTGATCTATTCCTCTGTATCATCTAATCTACTGTTGAATCCTTGTAGTGTAATTTTCATTTCAATTTTTGTATTCTTCATCTCTTTAATTCTTTATATTTTCTAACTCTTTGTTAAACTCACTGCAGTCATCCTTTCTTCTCCTGAGTTTGTTGAGCACCTTTTTTTTTTTTTTTTTTTTTTGTGGTACGGGGGCCTCTCACTGTTGTAGCCTCTCCTGTTGTGGAGCACAGGCTCCGGATACACAGGCTCAGCGGCCATGGCTCATGGGCCCAGCTGCTCCGCGGCATGTGGGATCTTCCCGGACCGGGGCACGAACCCATGTCCCTTGCATTGGCAGGCAGACTCTCAACCACTGCGCCATGAGGGAAGCCCTGTTGAGCATCTTTTTGATCATTACCTTGAATGCTTTATCTGGTAGATTGCATATCTCCACTTGGCTTAATTCTTCTGAGATTTTATCTTGTTCCTTCATTTGGAACATATTCCTTTGTTGTCTCATTTTGCCTAATTTTTTGTTTTTATTTGTATGTTTAGGTGGGTTGATTATGTTTCCTGATCTTGGAGAAGTGTCCTTACATAGGAACATATTATTAGATCTAGGAGTACACTCCCCTCTGGTTAACAGAGCTATATCTTCTAGGGGTGCCCCCTGTGTGGTCTGAGTGGGCTCTTCTGTTGTGGTGAGTCCAACTACTATGGGTGCTCAGGTAGGCGGGGCCAGTTTCTGGCTGGTTGGCCGCCTGAACCTCCTATGCAGAAGCTGCAGGTCTCTGGTGGCCAAGGCTGGATCATGGCGTGGCTGACTGCACAGTCTGGGGATTTCTGGGACTGGTTCTAGCCCACTGATGGGGGGTGCTGGGTCCTGGCAGGCTGACTTCAGGCCTGGGAGGTCTTGGGGCAGTTGACTGCAGAGCTTAGGGTTTTGGAGCTGTTGCTGACCTGCTGGTTGGCAGTGCCAGGTCCCTGGGTGGCTGGCTGTGTGCCTGAGAATCCCGTGGCAGCTGACTATGGGCCTGAGGGGTTCCCAGGACTAGTGCCAACCTGCTGATGGGTGCAGCTGAATCCTAGTGCTAATTGGCTAGATGGAGAACTCCAAAATGGTACTTGTCAGCACCAATGTCCTCGTGGTAGAATACACTACCCAAAATGGCTGTCAGCAGCATCTTTGTGCCCAGGGGGAGTCCCAGTTACCTTCTGCCTCTCTGGGAGACTCTCAAAGATGAGCAAGTGGGTCTGACCCAGGCTCTTTTCAATTTACTGTGTGCTGGGTCTTCAAGTGTGTGAGACTTCGCATGCACTCTTTAAGAGTGGAATCTCTTTCCTACAGCCCTCTTGCTCTCCCACTATACAAGCCCCAGTGGCTTTCAAAGCCTGATATTCTGGGGGCTCATCTTCCCAGTGCAGTACCCCCAGGCTGGAGAGACCAATGAGGGGCTTGGACCCCTTGCTGCATGAGGAGAACTTCTGCAATTGTGATTATCCTCCTGTTTGTTGGTCCCTTATCCGGGAGTGTGGGTCTTGACTATATCACATTCTACACCCCTCCTGTCATCTCATTGTGGTTCTTCTTTCATGTCTTTAGTTGTGGAATATCTTTTCTGCTAGTCTCCAGATCATTCTCATAGATAGTTGCTCTGTAAATAGTTGTAATTTTGGTATGCCCACGGGACGAGGTGAGCTCAGGGTCTTCCCTGGGAAGAATCTTGATCTCTGCAATTTTTTTTTTTTTTTTTTTTTTTTGCGATACACGGGCCTCTCACTGCCGTGGCCTCTCCCGTTGCGGAGCACAGGCTCCGGACACGCAGGCCCAGCAGCCATGGCTCACGGGCCCAGCCGCTCCGTGGCATATGGGATCTTCCCAGACCGGGGCACAAACCCGTGTCCTCTGCGTCGGCAGGCGGACGCCCAACCACTGTGCCACCAGGGAAGCCCTGATCTCTGCAATTTTGATCAGTCCCTGGGCTGACTCTTATTATGGTGTCTCAGGATTAGTTACATTTGGAGTTAACCTTGGTTTCTTTGTTCAGAATCAGTTCTCTGCTCTTTCTGCTTTCTTACTTCTTTGTTCTTGGTCACTTGCCATGTTAACTTTCTTCAGATCCCTTTGTATAGTCCTTGGAGTTCTGCCTTATGAGAGTATTAAGAGCTTAAGTAGCTTGTTCACCAATCTCCATGGGCAACTTGTCATTGAAACACACTTGGGAACATTGCATGTGTAGGGCTGGGTATAGTTTTCTAGAAAAAATGACTGGATTCTTGGCCAGAAAAACTGGGTTTTGTGATGGTGGTAACCAAGTGAAGTTTCAAGCATCTTGTGTAACATTTTCTTCATTTAATTAATTAATCAAATTAATATTTATTGAACCTTAGGCACTTGAGACACAGCAGATAAATAGAAATCCCAGGCTCATGAAGCTTACACTCTAGTGGGGAAGATAAATAAAAAGGCTAATTGGCATATATGATATGTGAGGTAACTAAGAAAAAAATACGAAGCAAAGAAGCAGTATACATATTACGGTTCAGAGGTGATGAAATTGTGACTAGGCAGTGAGGAAAGAAGGTGACTATTGAAGTGAAGGCCTGGAGGGAGTTTTGCATATTGGTCTTGTAAAGCAGATAATTTACTGCTAAAATGGAGTGGAAGAAGTCATGAGTATTGTGTAGATAGCTGGTAGATGAGATAAGGTGTGTAAAGTCTTCTATAAACTCTAAAGTGACTTCATGCTATAATTTTTTCTCCAATGTGTACTGTACGATGGAATTTCTACTCTTAATTTTCAAGTCTCAAATTGAGTTAATGTCCAAGACAGTGATAGTGTGGTCTCTGGACCAGAAACATCATTTGGGAACTTGTTAAAAATGTAATTTCTAGGGTGCCATATAGACCCAATGAATCATAAACTCTGTAGGTGGAACCCAGCAATCTCTTTTAACAAGTCACCCAGGGGATTCTCATGTACTCTGAAGTGTGGGAACTGCTGGTCTAGAATAAGTTCTGTAATTTAAAGTATTTCCTCGGCTGGAATTTAGCCATTTTAGGAGGCGCTATTAAAACTTCTGATTTGACTGAGCAAAACGACCAAATTCTTTTTTAAATTAATTAATTAAAATCATTAAAAATTTTTTATTGGGCTAACATTAGTTTATAACATTGTAAGTTTCATGTGTGCAACGTTATATTTCTACTTTTGTATATACTACAGTGTGCTCACCACCAAAAATGTAGTTTCCATCCATCACCATACAGTTCATCCCCTTTATACATTTCACACTCCCTGGCCCCTCTCCCCTCTGGTAACCACTAGTACTCTGTTTTTGTTTGGTTTGTTCATTTATTTATTTTTTTATATTCCACGTGTGAGTGAAATCATACGGTATTTGTCTTTCTCCATTTGACTTATTTCACTTAGCATAATACCTCCAAGGTCCATCCATGTTGGTGCAAATGACAAGATTTCATCTTTTTTTATGACTGAGTAGTATTCCACCATATATGTATGTCATATCTTCTTTATGCATTCATTGGTTGATGGGCACTTAGGTTGTTTCCATATCTTGGATATTATAAATAATGCTGTGAAGAACATAGGGATGCATATATCTTTTCAAATTAGTGGAGTTTCACATTTTTTGGATAAATATCCAGAAGTGGGATACCTGGATCATATGATAGTTCTAGTCTTAATTTTTTTGAGGAATCTCCATACTTTTTTCCATAGTGGCTGTACTATTTTACATTCCCTTTTATCCATATCCTCACCAACACTTGAATAACCAACTTCTTATTATATTTTAATGTGTGCTATTCAGGATGTCTTTAAAAGGTGTTAGTTTTCAGATTTTTGCCAGTGATTTAGAATGCATATATCACTTCCACTTATTTCTGAGTTTTGTCTGATCTTTTCTTTTTTTCCCAATTTGAGATGCATATCTTATTTTTTCAAAATAGTACTTAAAGCTTTAAAAGTTTCATTTCCTGCCACCTTCAAAGTGTTGAAATATAGTGTATAATGTTGGAATTGATATTTATATAGAGGTTTCAAGATAAGTGATACTTATATAGAAACTTTAAGACAATATGGAAACTTTAAGACACTGGATTTGCATTTGGTGAAGAAAGTTTATTATGAAGAGGAAAATTATTTTGTAATAATTATTGCTGGGATATAATTACTTTTCCACATATAATATGCAATCAGTTTTAAAGCAATCTATGTGTTTCTTAAGCTTTGGCATTATTCTGTGAAAGTGTGTAATTATTTTTGTTCTCTATGAGTGCTTTTCATCACTTTGCATATCATGGCACACATAGAAATGATAATGTTTGTACAGTCCACTGGGGTAAATGGAGAAGGTAGCTCAAGGCTGAGGGCAACCCAGCCTGGTTTCAGCCCCACTTCCTGTATCCCCCAAGAGCCAATAGAATGCTCAGTATCTTCACACATCTATAACTTATTCCCAACTCACTAGTGAGCCTTAGCTCTATATAAGTATGGTTATTTTAGGAAGTTGTTTTAAATATTAGAATGAAATTTAACTTTCTTATTTTGGAGGACATTATTTTAAAATGCATTTCTGCAAAAAATACTCTTCACATGGATGATGGTTACATTCTACTAGTTTACTCTGTGAATGAGACTTTAATACTAAAACCTCAACAAATGGTAATAAATGTGTAAAAATTGGAAATGGTATATATTTTAAATTAAAAAAATTAATAATCTTTAAGTTGCCAATGAAATATAAATTAAATATGTAGTTTAAATACTTTCCTAAGAAGTTGGATTATTTTAATAGTATGTGTCTTTTTGCAAAATTATGAGAATGTGCTTTCATTTATACAAGTAACATTTAAAAAATCTTGTAGTTAATTTCAGAAAGATCCTGTTATCAAAAGGAATATATCTGAATGTATTGGAATTAATGCAGAAGCATATACATTCTCCTGAAGTGGCTGAAAGTGGCTGTAAAATGCTAAATCATCTTTTTGAAGGAAGGTAATACATATTTCTGAATTTATGTAGAATATATTAATTGGACCAGGTAGAATATCAATATTTTGAGCATAATTTTAAGAATAAAAGGAAAAACAAGGCATTTGAAGAGTGAAACATTTTGCAATATAATTTCATGTCAGTGATACATAGACTTATTTTATCTACATATTGAAAGGGATGATAAAGTAGAAATACGTTGAAGGTTTGCTTTTGTGCTTAATGCTTGGTGTTGACTATGTTTTGAAAAATGGCAGTTATATAGAACAAAACCTTAAACAGTTTTTCAGATTATTGCGTTATGTGAAAGGTATAAAAGATAAAATCAGGATATGGCTTCTAATTGTTATTTTTAAGTTTACCTTAAATTGTGATTTTTATGGTCCTGGCAGTGTGTGAACCTTTATATATGAGGCAAAAATGCAGTGGAATAACTGACAGGTTTTTTGTACATTCTGGACAATTAATGTTTCTGGCTGTTTTCTCATATATTAAATGTGTAAATTTCCAGTCCTGGGGATTCAAAGTTAACTATGACAATGTGCCTGCCCTTAAAAATCTCCCTGTCTAGTTGGGGAGACTAATTTATAAACAGATAATTACAATACAGTGTGATAATTCAATGGCAGGATTTGTAAAATCGTAGGGTCTTGGTGAACCAAGCTAGGGTGACCAAAGGAGAGAGGCTACAAAGAGGGGATGTGTTTAACCTGGGACTTTAAAGTGGAAAAAAGGGACTATATGTCAGTAACCACAGACCCACGTGAAGTGAGGACACAGTTATGATATGCAGAAGTTTTAGTCAGTAGGACACTGTGTAAAGCAAGGGTTGCCTCTATTAAAGTTTGTAGGACCTACTGAAATCTACATTTATTTATATGTAAAAGAAAGTATAGCTAAAATACCTTAGAGAAACCAAGACTTAATGCAAAAAATAGTTAAGAATACCATATAAGAAGTCTAGTGGTGTTAATCTGGAAGAGGCAGGTAGTTATACAATAAACAGCTCTCTGGACTTGGCAGTCAGAGTTTGCATTCCAGCTCTGGCTCTGTCACATTCCAGTGATAGGACCTTGATGTTTAACCTCTGTCAGCCTAAATTCTGTACCTGGAAAATGCAAATAATAACACCTACTTTCCAGGCTTGCTGCCAGTGACCCATGTATAGATCAGAAGGAAGTTGTTAGTTCTGGGAAACTAAATAAAAGAATTCCCAGTTTACTGTAAATTTAACTTCTTGACGTCAAAGTTAAAATAAATTAGAATTTAAATTGTGTATACTCATACTGCCGAATTCACATCAGCCTTTTCTGATAAAAGAGTTCTGTTTTCTCGTACTTGTTTCAAATTGGTGTTTGTATTGGAATCAGGTTGTACTCTTAATAAGCAATTCAATATTTTATCTCTAGTAACACTTCCCTGGATACAATGGCAGCAGTGGCCCCCAAAATAATAACAGTTATGAGAAGTCATGAGACGTCAGTATCAGTGCAGCTGGAGGCACTTCGAGCTATTTTACATTTTATAGTTCCGGGTAAGTTACATAATTGATTGTGGGAAGAGATGTCATTTTAAGTGGATTTTTTGACTTTTCATGAAATATCAACTTTCTAGGCAAAAATTAAAGGACCAGTTTCTGCCAACCAAATGTAATCTTTTCACTAGCCCAAAAATTAAAATAGAGGGAAAATGATGATGTGGAAGAGTCAGATAAATTTAGATTAAAATTTAATAAGAAACATCAATAATTTATTTCCAGAAAAAATAACTGCAACATAGTGTGGAGCTTTACCTCCAAGGAGAGTGTCATCTCTGCTATTTCTTTTCTATTTCTGTTGACCTTACCAAGTCCAAGTTTTTTTGTTTGTTTTTTTCCTGTCTGAATTATAATAATACCCAACTAATTTTCACACTTCCTCTTTTGCCTCTTTCCAGTCCTTCTTTTACTATGCAGTTCAATTAATCTTTCTCAAATATAACCATGTAGCTTTTACTCATGAGCCACAATAGTGTCCATCCTCCCCACATTTACTTCCTGCTTACATCTTTTATGACCTTATTTGTCCTCCAAAGCCCATTTAAAACAACTGCTCCCCCATTCATTCAGCATGTAGTTATTAAGTGCCTCTTATGTTCTATATATTGTGATGACTGCAAAGGTCTGAAAGACAAGTAAAACAAGACATGACTGTACTATTTATAGGAGCCTAGAGGTAGACAGATAGTTAATTACCAGACAGTTGCGAGGAGCTATTATACATATATATATTATAAAAGGCTATGAGAGTATTGATGGAGGCACAGATAATTTATTCAAAAGAGTAGGCCAGAGATTGTGATATTTGAACCTGACGGGTGAATAAGGCTGACCTGGTAAAAAGGCCAGGAAGGACATTTCAAGCAGAAAGAGAAAGTGCTCATGGTGTGGGGTGAGTGGAGCATGGTATGTGAGGAAAGCAGTCCTGGGGATAAATGTGGAAGGACAGGCAGAGGCTGAGAGGGAAGGGCCTTGAACACAACACTGAGCAATTTGTGCTTTTTTTTAGCACAAGTCAATTCAAATTTATTTAAGGTGTTTCAAAATTGCAGTGTCATAACCAAATCTGCAATTTATAACAGTAGCACTGTGGTGTGGAGAATGATTGACGGGAGGGGAACCTCCTGCAGGGAGATTAGGCTGGAGGCTGTGATAGGTGAGACATGGTGGGGGCCCAGCAAAGAAAAGAGAGGAGAGGATGGATGTGGGAGATGTTTAGGAGGTACATTTGGCGTGACTTTCTGACTACTGAATATCAGGGATGTTATTATTATTTTGCTCTGTAAAAGTCCCAATTCTTTTGAAGCCCAGTGTTTTGGGTCCTTTTTAAATGAAATCTTCCTAAATCTACCATTATCTGTAGTCATATTGGTATTTTATGTTTCTGAGTATAAGAGTATTCTCTGTATAAGAGTATAGATTTTTTCAAGGAGAGGGCTTTCTTTAGTCATGCCTTTTTTTTTTTTTTTTAACCCCCTGGTAACTTGAACAAAAATAGCTATTCAATAAATTTTGAATTGAATCATGATGTCCCATTCACAGTCATCACACAACTTTAGAGATATAATTTAACAGACATAGTTTTGCTTGAAAATATTATTGTGAATTCTTTTAAACTTCGTAGATTGTAAAAAACAAAACAAATTCCTTTTGATTACCCTTAAAGGTGTCAACCTTCTTCTTTTGAGAGTGGATTTGAGTTTTAAAGATAACCAAAAGACATTATGAATCATCTGTTAGTTAATAACATTCTTTTAGTTCAAAAATAAGTTTTGAATGTAGAATTTCTTTTCTTTTATTGTTCTGAGATTGAGCCTGAAGTGACATTGATAGTAATAATTTAGATGTATGAAATGATGTACTTAAATGTTTTTTTTTATAATAATGTTTAGGTGTATTAAACAGGTACCCTTGAAAATAATTTTATAACTTTATGGTGGTACTTTATGTATGGAAACATATTAATAGACATATTTTATAAGCATATCAACATATAAATACATTTCTCTATTAGGTAAAGGCTTAACCATCTACTTCACTCTATGCTAACCTACTATATTACCATACCATACCACACGATACCATACTCTACCATGCTGTAACTATACCATACTATACTTTATCATTCTATATTATATCATTCTGTATGTCAGTGAGTAACTAGAATATCAGTACGCCAGTAGTTTTGAGGTTGAATATGATTCTGGTTTTGACATGCTGAAGCAGGTACTTATGTTTAGATGTACAGGTATTAATTTTATTAACTAGACCACATTCAGATTATTAATTGTAACAAAGATGTGCATTATAGCAAATGTGTATAATTTAATTCAGGGCCACATATTGCAGCTAGTATTATGTCTCTTAAGTTTCTTTCAATCTGGTACTGTTCACTTCCTCCTCTTTTTTATAACAGTAACTTATTGAAGTGATTGAGCCTGTTGCTTTAAAAAATAATAATAAAGGCCTACTTATTTTAATAAAATATCATTTGACTTGTTCTTTCTTGATTTAGTGTCAGTTCTAGAGGAAAAAATTCTTTAGGAAAGGACATATGCATATTGGGAAGTGTATAGAGGAAAGTGATTATGAATATAAAACCACATCCTTAAGAACAATAAGAGAAGCTGAATTCAATTTGGAGAGGAGATAATGCAGGAGGTTATGAAAGCTATTAAAATTCACTCATTTATAGTTAGTAACAAATGTGTAAGGCATTATTCAAAGTACTTTATGTATATAAACTTTAAAAATTCTTGTAGCAACCCATAAGGCAGATTCTACTTTTCCACCCCATATCACAGATGATGAAACTGAGGCATAAGATATAGAGATTTTAAGGTCACAGCTTACGTAACGGAGCCATGTTTTCACCCTGTGCAGCCTGAATCAGAGTGGGTGCTTTTTAAAGACACATTTGTGCAATAAGTGTATGTGGAACAACTGTTATACGTAAAGCACTATGCTTGGAACTCTTGGTAACCTGGAGATGATTAGATTATGGATCCTGCCTTCAAAAAGTTTGCAGTTCAAACAATTTAAAGGACTATTATGTGGAAAGGAAATTATATCCATTCTGGATAGTAGAACCTCAAGTGATATAACAAAGACCAGAGATGAACTTTTGGGAATATTCATTTGGTCTTAACATAAGAAAGACATTTAATAAGTCTCCTTACATATGGCATGAAGATTTTCCTTCTCAACAGGACTGCTTTTAATGGTCACATCTGCTTGTGATATAATGGGCAGCTTCAGCAATTAATGTGATCTTGGTCACTGAAAATGAGACAATGAGAGTTTAAGTAACTTATCGAAGGTCATACAGCTGTAGTGAATGTCAGGACCTGTTTCAATAAATTTTAAAATGAAGACTGAAAGTTCTAGGAGGGTGAAAATCATGCCTGCCATATTCACTGTGGTATTCTCAGCATGTAGCAAAATCCCTTGCATGTAGTTGGCATTCAGATGTTTGTTAAGTAAATGAAAAGTTATATGTAGTCAACTTATAGTTTGTGTTAATACAAATTATTGAAGTGAAAGGTTAGAAGGAATTGTTTATTAATAATTATTTCTATAGTCATAGGTTTTAGAAGCGTTATTTATTCATAATAATTTTACTTATATGTTCTATTGTATAACCAACATTTTTTGACTTCCTGTTTTAACAACAGTTTTGGGTTAGTTCAGCTACAATGTAGCTGAATAAAGAATATGTTTTCTTTAAGTTACTTAATACTTTTATACAGCCTTAGAGGACTTCTAATAAAACTATATGCTCTTTACCATTATAATGCTGAAACTAAAACCTTTTTTTTCCCACTGTTATTCCAGCTGCTCTTTTATGTCTACATTTCATATCTGACCTTTTTATGTTGTAGTCCAAGTAACTTTGATCTTTTCTCAAGTTGTCCATTGTTGCATAAACATCTTCTAGCTTCTTGTAATGAGTACAGCCTATTCATACAAAAAAGAGATTGTTCCAGAAAATTCCTCCACCATAGTAACTTCTTGCTACTTTAAATTCAGTGAACATCCGCACACACTGTATTTATTTTACATTCAGTGATGAACTGTTTTTAGAAATTTCTTAATGCTAAGAGTTATTTCTTTGGTAAGGAACCATGGATTAGAAAAAGGTATAACATATATATGTACTGTTGGGTTAATTATAATCATTCCTAATAAGTGACAATCTATTTAGCCCAAATCTTTATGAGAAAAACATTTGTTTATTTGTTTATTTTTGCATTTAGGCATCCCAGAAGAATCCAGAGAAGATACTGAATATCAGCATAAGCTAAATATGGTTAAAAAACAGTGTTTCAGGAATGATATTCACAAATTGGTCCTAGCGGCTTTGAACAGGGTACGTATAATATAGGTTTTCTGCCTTTATACTCTTAACTAGAATGTGAAATTGGGGAAGTAGGGGGGCTTTTATTAGCTTAAGTTTTCCATGTTCCGTTTACTATGATAGTAGGAAGTTATATGTTTAGAGACATAAGATGGCAGTAGAGATGTAGGGGGTGAAGAGATGTGCCATTCCAGCTAAGAGAAGTGCACCGTCAACTACAGACTTTGACAGGTTCTTTGGATAAATCCACTCGAGTCTGTTCAATCAGAAAGAGAACTCTAGATGTGCAGCTAAGCCTCATGAGCTCTGTCAGGAGCCATGACTGCTATTTTCTCTTTCTGTCCTCCTGGCTGCTTGTCTTTATTTTCTGGTCCCAGGCTGAAAGGTTCAGTCCATGAAGACACACAGGGCACACATTAAAGTCTTTTTTGATTCCCTGTGCTTGTTTTCATTTTACTCCTTAGGGATAACCTCTGAAATGGCTCAGTGTGCATTGTTTTCTCCCAGTGTTAGGTATTTACATATCTATGTACATTTGCAATAATATAATTAATAAATTAATAATCATACTACATCTGAAAAAGAAGAGGAGCATTATGTTTATATTGTGCAGTGCAAAAGGTGTTGATGGAATTAAGATGGTTTTGAAATTTAACATAAGATGAATTGGTTCTTTATAAAAGATATCAGAGTAAAGATGTAAAGATGTGAAGATTAATGTTTTCATGAAAGGAAGAGAGTAGTCAAAGCAATTAATGGAAATAATTCCTTGTGATTTAGTATACTTTGAAAAATGTCATGAATTAATTAGAAGAGCCTGCAGAGAGATCTTCAAAAATGCAATTTAAACTGAACTTTATAATGTAATAGTTTATGATATATTTGAGTCATTTGTACTCAAGCCTTAATATGATTCTTGAGTATAGCCATGGGTTAAATTTAATTCCAGAAATATTTGGTGAATATAAGTATATGGAAGGAACTGTGTTAGACACTGGGAAGACAAAAATGAATATGCTTTGTATCCTTCTGTAATGGATCTCATAATCTGGCTGGGCCATGCATAAAACATAAAACACATATTAGATTGTTCTGTATTAGCACTTATGAGCTGCACTAGCTTTATGAACAGTACTTTAGGAACACAGAGGAGAGAGTAGTTAATTTTGTTCATGGTATGTGTTGGTGAGAAGCAAGAGGTACCAGAAAAACCTTTTGGTAACTCTGATTCTGGTTATCCCATCTTTCCTAACATTATTGAATACGGGTGTGATAGAGTGGAAGGAGTGGGCAGTCAAGGGAGAAGTACTGTGCTTACTGCCATCAGTACTGTGATGCCAAGAAGATCACTCTGCTCCCAGGTCTTACTTTCTTTTGCTATATAATCCCAGGAGAAGTGGTTGAGAACCTCCCTACCCCTTCCTTTATTTTCCATGCCACACTTGCGTAATGACACACAGCGTCTCACTAAACAGTGACTGTCATTTGTGGGCAGGGAATTAAGGTCATGGGGAAACAGAAGTGACACTATTTTAAAAAATCTCCCCTGTGTAATTCCCCTAATTCTTCACCATGGTTGAGAAAAAATGTTCTAAAAGATGAATGTATCTTTTTTTTTTAGTTCTAAAATTCTGTGATTGCATGTCTCACTCTGAATAAATGTTACAAGGCATCAGAGATTTTAGGTCCAAATACTACTGATGTAATAAAATGAATTACCATTAAAAATAAGTCTATTCTTGGAGAGCAGACTTCCAAATGAGGTAGAATTTGAGATTCAACTAAGATTTACAATGTGAAGACTATTAAAAGTATTTATTAAAGTGAATCAATGTTTGGAGATACATATGTGTGTATGTAAATATATACACATATAATATGTGTATATATATATATATATATATATATATATATATATATATATATACACACACACACACATATGTATGTATAAATCCAGTAACATTCAGGCTGAAGTTAAATGTCTGAAATATTGACATTCCACTTATGCTTGATCCTTTTAGCTTTTTCTGCACATGAAACATTCAGTCACCTATTCTAGAGAGATCGATTTGCCCAGTATTGTCTCTGGAGAACACAGTAGAAAATAGGACTCTCAGCATTTCGGTCACATCTGTGCTTTGTCTGCAGTGACAATGCTGCTGTCTTCAGCCAGGGAACTTACAAAGTCAAACCAATCTTCTGATTAAATGGACACAAATCAAAGAGCTTGTGTGCTTCTCAAAAACCTTAAAGCAAAATGTACCCAGTTTAAATACTGAAGATATTTATTTCAACTGTAAATAATATGTAGTGAAAGAAAGAGCTTATTTGCAAAAGTAACAATAATAACAACAGCAAAAAGAAATTACATAGGAGTAAAGTAATAAAAGTGTGTAAAACTAAAGAAAACTGTGAAACAACTGAGAGTAAGTACAAAAGAAGAGTTGAACATAGGAAAATGTATATACTCTCTGTTTTGATAAAATTACTAATTTTTTAAAAATGAAAATTGTCTGTATTTATGAACCCTTAATAAAAATAACAATAGTATTTTATGGAACTAGATAAGCTAGTATAAAATTTTGAGAAAATTAATTAAATAATATACATGAATAACCAAAGTTTGAAAAAGAGGATAATTAATATGGCCTAACTCTAGTAGATTATCAAATGTATTATAAAATTTTAGTAATTAAAATGGTGTGGCATTGGCACTGGAGATGGATTAATGTCACATAATGGTAATTTAGAAAATAGACTCAAATGCAAATGTTCAATTCATATATGATATTTCCCAACCACTGGAGAGGGAAATAGATTGCTTGTGTTGGAAGAACTAATTCTCTGGCCATTTGGAGAAAGCAAAGGAAGCTGCATATTTACCTTACTCATTTAAAGATTAAATCTCATGTAGATGAGATTTAAAAGTAAAAATGAATTTGGCATATAAACACATGAAAAGGTTCTCAAGTACGTATAGTCATTATTAAAGAAATGTAAATTTTAAAAAAGAAAAACCTTTTGGGGGAAATTTAGTAATATCTATCTAAATTGAAATGGACATGTTTTCTGACCAGCGGTTCCACTCTAAGAAGTTATAATATAGATATACCTGTACATGTACATAAAATTTTTTTAAACAAGAATGTTTTTTGTGGCATTATCTGTAGTAAGAAAAATGTGGTAACAAGCTAAATGTTTATGTGGTAATCATGAGTGTTGTTTGCTAAATGTTTTCAGTTCTCCACCTTCTGGTGATTCTGGGATAGTATTTATTGGCCCTTTTGTTGTTAGATTGGATCATGTGTCTGGTTTTGACCAAGCAGTTGTAAGTAGAGGTTACATCTGTCATTTCTGGACCAAACATTTAATTGCTGGTGAGGCATCTTACAGAACAGGGGTTCCCAATCCACAGGCAATGGAGCAGTACTGGTTCGTGGCCTGTTAGGAATCGGGCCACACAGCAGCAGGTGAGTGGCAGGCGAGCGAGCGAAGCTTCATCTGTATTTACAGCCGCTCCCCATCGCTCACATTACCGCCTGAACTCCGTCTCCTCTCAGATCAGTGGCGGCATTAGATTCTCATAGGAGTGCAAACTCTACTATGAACTGTGCATGTGAGGGATCTAGGTTGCATGCTCCTTATGAGAATCTAATGCCTGATGATCTAAGGTGGAGCTGAGGCAGTGATACTAGCGCTGGGGAGCGGCTGCAAATACAGATTATCATTAGCAGAGAGGTTTGACTGCACAGAGACGATAATAAATCAATTGCTTGCAGACTCATATCAAAACCCTATCAGTTTTTCTCTTTCTGACTAGCTGATTCACTTTGTTATAAAGCAGAAACTAACACACCATTGTAAACCAATTATACTCCAAGAAAGATGTTAAAAAAATAAATAAATAAAACCCTATCAGTAGTGGCAAGTGACAAGCTGCATCTGGTGCAGGCTTTAAGTCAGAATCTGACTTATTTTAGTCCACACATGGCCCTCCCATTATTTTATTTACCACTTCCAGCCGTGCCTCTTTCCTTCACTGTGCACTTGTCTCACTCAGTTTTGGTAAGCCCTCCACAAGCTAACCCTAGCCAAAATGAGTAAAAAACAGACATCGCTGGAGAGCTTCTTTGTAAAGGGAGAAAGACCCAATGATGATACAGTAGAAGACTGTAAGACTGCCAACAAAAACAAAGCCGCATATAAAAGAAAATACTGAGTCCTTAAATTAAGCGTTCATTGCAACAGCTGATTCACATTTTCCAAGCCCGCTTTGTATATGTGGCGACCGGCTATCCAGTGAAGCCGTGAAACCTTCAAAACTGTTTTGCCACATGGAGACCAAGCACCCTGCATTAAAAGACAAGTCTTTGGAGTTTTTCAAAAGAAAAATATGTGAACATGAAGAACAGAAGCAATTATTGAAGGCCACCACTTCATCAAATGTGTCTGCACTGAGAGCATCATTCTTAGTGGCTAACCGCATTGCTAAAGCTGAGAAGCCCTTTACTATTGGTGAAGAGTTGATCCTGCCTGCTGCTAAGGACATTTGTCATGAACTTTTAGGAGAGGCTACAGTTCAAAAAGTGGCATGTGTTCCTCTTTCAGCTAGCACCATAACTAGACGAATTGATGAAATAGCAGAGGATATTGAGGGACAATTGTTAGAGAGGATTAATGAGTCACCGTGGTATGCAATGCAGGTTGATGAGTCTACCGATGTTGACAACAAGGCAGCAAAGCTTGTTTCTGTGCGATATATATTTTCAGGAGGATGTGCATGAGGATATGTTATGTGCACTTTAGTTGCCAGCCAACACCACAGTTGCAGAACTATTCAAGTCTTTGAATGATTACATATCAGGAAAACTGAATTGGTCATTTTGTGGCGGTATATGCACGGACAGAACGGCTGCCATGACTGGACGGCTTTCTGGTTTTACTACTCAGGTCAAAGAGGTCACTTCTGAATGTGAGTCTACGCACTGTGTCATCTATAGAGAAATGCT